AATGTTACATTTTCACAGATAAAATTTAGATGAACATGTTATAAAATAAAATGAACATGTTACATAATAAAATGAACATGTTATAGAATAACATGAACATGTTACATAATAAAATAAACATGTTATAGAATAAGATGAACATGTTTAAATTCCATATCTACATCACGGGCTCTCACATTATTTTCTCCCATTTCCACTTCATACACAAAATTCTGGTCAATTTCTTGCTCGACTTTCACTCGTTTAATGCAAGCATCCCCGCCTTGAAATAATAAACCATAATCTATAGTTAAGAACTCAAATTTATGCAATAGTCATACTATAGGGAATGAAAGTGAAAAACTAGTAGAATGTAAAAAAAATTTTATAAATTAGTCTTTTGATCGAACATCCTCCACCTTCACAAACCAAAATCCTCTCTAATAAGATGAAAATGCTACATTTTCATAGATGAAATTTAGATGAACATGTTATAAAATAAGATAAACATGTTACATAATAAAATGAACATGTTATAGAATAACATGAACATGCTACATAATAAAATGAACATGTTATAGAATAAGATGAACATGTTAATACACAATAAGGTGAACATATTATAAAACAAAAAATTAGTTGTGTTCAAAAACCTATCAAATGTGGTCTCTATTTATAGAGAATGAAAAATTATGAATTTTGGTATTTTTATTTTATTTTTTTAATATAAATAATTAATGATATTTTAATTTATGTAATATGTCTCATTTTTCAATTAAAAAAAGAAAATTAGGGATGTGAACTACACTCTCTTAATTTCTCTAATTTTGGGGAGTGAGAGACGCGTGTAAATCTGTCTTGGCACACCTAGCTAGGTGTGCCAAGGCACATGGTAGTGCTACTGTTGAGAAAATCGCTCAAAAAATGCATCTGGAATTGCACCCCTAGCCCCCCTAGAGATCCAAATGAAAAATCAGATAACGAATTGGAAGAGGAAGATGATCTGAAGGGCGAAAAAGAGAAACCGAACAAGGGCCCGAATGCTGAAGCGAAAATATCGCCGGAGAGTGAATCTGAGTCGGAGTGTGAGGATTCTGAATCTGAATCAGATAATTCTAGGTCAAGAAAGAATAAAAAATCCCGGCGTAAGAGTCGAAGATCGAAATCAGTCTCTGAGAGTGAAACCCATTTGGAAAACGAGTCTAGCAACAATGACTCGGAGGAAGATAGGAAGAGGAGAAGGAGAAAGAACCGGAGAAAGAGCAGGCGGAAAAGCAGCAGTGGGAGAAAGAGAATCAGCGGGAAAAAACGCTCAAAGAGTGCAACCGATACCGAGAGCGAGAGCCAAGATTCTGAGATGAGCCATGATCGCGTGAGATCGACAAAGCGCAGGCAAAGGTCAACTTCACGTTCCAAACAGAGCAAGAAGAAGAGAGAATCGAGTTCCGGCTCGGGTGGCAGCTGCTCTAACTCAGAACCTGAAGCAAATAAAGTTGTTCCTAAGCCAGACGAGCTCATACTCAATGCCGACACGAATGTGGACCTTCTCAAGTTTAAGGAAATGATCGAGCAGCGTAAAAAGCTCAATCTTGATGAAGAGCCTGTTGTAGGCCCAATGCCCCTGCCGAGGGCTGAGGGCCACATTAGCTATGGTGGGGCCCTCAGGCCCGGTGAGGGTGATGCTATAGCCCAGTATGTGCAGCAGGGTAAACGTATCCCGCGTAGAGGTGAGGTGGGCCTCTCGGCTGAGGAGATATCGAAATTCGAGTCTCTTGGGTACGTGATGAGTGGGAGCAGGCATCAAAGGATGAATGCGATCCGTATTAGGAAGGAAAACCAGGTTTATAGCGCTGAGGACAAACGGGCCCTGGCGATGTTTAACTATGAGGAGAAGGCCAAGCGAGAGCAGAAAGTTATGGCTGACTTGCAGCGTTTGGTGCAGCGTCATATCGGGCAGGATACTGGTCCTTCTCATGACCCGTTTGGTGGGGATGATTGATTGATAACTCGTGTGCTGCTGTAGCAGATTAGGTCTGAAATTGATTTCTATTTGGTGATTGTATGAATGTTGAATACGGTGTGTTATTTGTTGTTTGAAGCATTTTAGTGAAGGATCACGGTGAAAACTAGGTTTGTTTCAGTTAGGTGAATTTCAATTTTTTTTTTTTTTGTATAATGATGTTACTTGAGTATGCTCGTTATGCGAATGCCTTCTTGTATTTGGTGTTGGAGATATGACTAAATAAGTCGAACTTGTTTTCCTGTCATCTATTTGGTGATTGTGTGAATACTGTGTGTTATTTGTTGTTTGGAAGCATTTTAGTGAAGGATGATGGTAAAACTAGGTATGTTTCAGTTTTGGGAATTTCATTTTTTTTTTTGTTGTTGTTGCAAACAATGATGTTACTTGAGTGTGCTCGTTATGAGAATGCCTTCTTGCATTTGGTGCTGGAGATATGACTAAATAAGTCCAACTTGTTTTGTTTTCGTGCTGTGTAGTTATATATGGGCTGAACTAAGCAAAACAAATTATGGAGGTGAAATTAGTTGCAGAAAAGAAGTGTGTTAAAAAAACTTATGATTAGGAGACAGTTGAATGCGGTTATCATCTCTGTAAGAGGCTATTGGTTGCTCTATGTTGCTCGACTCGGTTTTGGAATGTGTTGACAAAGAATAATGTTTGTACTTTCTTTAATTACGAAATTTCTTCTTTTATTTTGAGGAAAATATATTTTAGTTATATATATCTTGACATTTTTCATTTTAGTTTGGCTGGTTTTCATGTTAGATTTTAACAAGCTGCGGGTTAATTCAAATTCCAGATGCATTGTTGTGCCTGCTGCACTTCTTGAGTGAGCTTTACTCGGAGCTTTTACAAGATTAACATGAATGAAATGCAACTTGGTAAACGCAGAAGGGGAATTTTTGGTAAATTGTTCCTTTTTTAGCTCGATTTTTGATTCGTGTTTTATCTATCTCATTCGGATTCATCTTATGCACAGTTCGTTTCTTTTCTAATAGTGCTGCATAGCCTTAATTTTTGTGATGCAGAAATATATTTCCTTCTCAATTTATCTCAGTTTTGGTCTTTTTGATTATTATGGCTGTGTTGTTGTCTTATGTTGTTGATTATAACTTGATGCTAAAGATCAGTGCATGATGAATTATGATATATGCTAAGTAACAACAAATTGGTGTTAGTTGACTGTAATGGTTAGACAAATTATTCATTTCTCAGATTGAAATATCATATTGTAAATAATGTAATTAAAAATATGATTTTTCATGATATAAGTATGTAAGGTTGTTAAAAATGTATGAAAGGCCCATCTATTGTTAGGTTGTCTCACACAAAAATTTGCGGTAGAGTTTTTGTTTGCACGTTTTAGATGTTAGCTAGCGTTTGTACCAGAACTAGAACAAAAATTATTTGACCATAATGTACAT